TCTAATTACTAATAAGGTGTAATGGTGCGATGATAGTAATATAATGACATGTCTGGTGGAGTGTGGCATTTCTGCCTTAGCTAGTCTTCCACCGCACCTCGACATGCCTACATCGTCACAGAACAAATCAAGTTTAATTGATGTTCCTAGCTTCCTTTCTACATCTCTTCACCAGGAGTACTCAGCTTTGCTCAAGTATGGGGGACTAAAATGACAAGCGGGTTCAATCATTCACCAATTATCATTAATACATGTACTGTAACGCTCAATTTACTGAGATCACTATAATCTGTGATCTGTCTCATTAGTGATATTCCACAACTAAAAGACTGTTGCTTAGATTTTAACTCAACTGTGAACTCACCAGGCATGCAAATAAAATCTAATTTCTTAAATATCAACATCCTCTATTAAGCAAGTCAGTCCATGCCACCATGTTTTATTCTTAGCCAGTTCTAAAAATGGTGGCTGAGAAGTATTTTTGATAAATTTTAATAAATAAACTTTTTCTGCTAGAAGGCAAACCTATTCAACCTTCTTCATCTCATTTTTGAGAAAATGTGATGTGTTGAATTTTTTATTTTAGTTCCTACGTCTACGTCAACTTAAGGTCACTAACCCCATATGTGCCACTGATGAATAAGCAATTATTCTTTTCAGGTCTACTTGCCGGTAAGTTGTCAAACTCCCATATATTATGGCCAATAGACTCAAAGACATAATTAGTGGCGCAAAATATTCTGTCGCCTCTGGCAACAACGGTCATGTAAATCGTAAGAATCAGTACCCCCCTAATTTCAATAAAACTCTGGCCAATATTACTGACCCTGCTACAGGCGCTTCTACGTGCGCCTGTGGTAGCCATTATTGCATCACTCCTCATAAGAAAAGGTCTGCCAGGTTCTTCTCACCATTACAATAATGCCAACATTCCACAGGCACCAAGTCTCCAATATGCCTGACCCTGTTGTGCACAAATGGCTTCCAAACCTTTCTGATCCCCTTCATCCAAAAAACAGCTATCTGTGAATCTGTGTAGTGAGTAGTTAAACCTAGAATAAGCTCAAAACTGAAGGTGGTAGCAAACATAGTCACCAGTCTTGCTAAAAGTAAAGCTGCCATGAGTTCGAGCCTTTGAATTGTTTGAAATTGAAGAGGTGCTACTCTAGTTTTACATAAAACAAGTTTAGTAGCTTGTTGAGGACCATTCTTTCAGTTCAAATACACCACTTGAGCATAAGCAACACCAGAGGCATTTCAACATCCATTAAGAGAATGGTGCCACAAATATTGGCATGCAGTGGTATGTAGCAAAACTTGGGATTTGGATTCCACAATACTTTCTTCCAGCAGAACTTTTGAATAAAAACCTCGTTCCCATTAATGACTCTTTGAAAGAACAATAGGGATCATGAAACCTGCCAACTGTACTAAACACCTGTTGTTTAGTGGAATTATGTTAAACAAGAGGATCAAATAGATAAGGAAACTCAAACAAGAAATTATCTTTAATGTTGTTCCAAAGCAGACCTGGCAGCTTTCTTGATGTGCCTAGATTACCATTTGGTCTGCCCTAAGGTAGTCTGAGCATAGGTGTCGTGTCAAGCTTCATCATTAGTGTAGGGCTTCGCATATACTTCTATTCTCCTTTGTAAAAAAAATGTGATTCGTAACAATCTTACATCAGTTCAAACCTCCTTTTCCCTTCACTGATTCACTGACTTAGCTTGGAAGTACAGCAAAATCCCCTCCACCTCTTTGTCCACCCATGTCACATGATTAATATAAAATGACTATAGCAGCTCCTGAGTAATCTCTGGATAATAGGGACTTTATAATTCTTGATTATGTTTAGAAGTGGAATTGACAAGAAGGGAATAAAGGAGACCTAAAAAAACCACTCTCCTAAATCTGTATGTCTCAACTAAAGGTGAATTAGTATTACTATATGCTACCAACGGAAACCACAAAACATTATGATCACTTCCCTTAATAAAGATTATCATTAAGGCCTTTTCTACATCAGCTTATAGTGCTACCTTATGTATTCAAAACTTCAACAACGATTAAATATCTTTAACAAACTTTGGGGCGTAATAGAAGCATTCACCTAAGCAAAATCCAACCTCCTTTGCTGAGGCACCTGATAGGACTCTCAGTATTGTTGTTTCCCTGTCACTTCTCAGTACTGCAAGGTGTAGCAGGTAGTTTACTCAATTAGATGTTACCTCTTTTGGATATTCTACCTCCTCACTATTGACAATTTCCGTCCGTTGCCGTATCACCACATCATATTTAATTAAGATATCTCAGTCTTACATTACTCGATTCAATAGGCTACCAAGCTTCTCTGTCTAAGCCTCTATTATTTCAGATAGAAATACAAGGATCCTTCCAAGGAAGGCGTACTTTATGCCTACCATTGTTAAATGTGAAGTTAAAGCCAAATTGTTGATGCACCTATTCCTTCATGTCTACCACATGTAATGCTTCTAAGTTTAAAAACTTCTCAGCATCTTATCCAGCTCTTTTGGACTAGGGTCTGAACCCGCATGAGTTCAGTCGCCCCTGAGTAACTGATCTTGCATCTTGTTCACCTGAGTCGCTACAAAACCTTTCTCAGTTGAGTTCAAACAGCTACCGGACCATTACCTTCCCCTCCCACAGTCTAACGTGTTACCACAGTCCTGTAGTATTCAGCACCAATTAACAACTTTGGTTTCACTCCATCTGAGCTGTCTACTTAGTCATGATGGTGTGAAAAGTCATATGTTACCTGGCAGAATCAAATTGGATTTGCTGAAACCTTGCTACAAATAAGAACTGCCAATAATTTGTGAATTAGGCAAGCATCTTCCCTAGTATGCAATTCAATCTCAACATTATTACATGTCTGTTCTTTCTCCAGTGCTGACCCTAAAGTAATTATTGACATCTCCCGTCGTCCATTATGCTTCACAGTTCGCTTTCTTTTCACTTGGTCTGCTAGGTATGACCTTAGTATTAAGACTCGAGTCAGTGGGATTAAAGGGTAACTTCAGTGCATTTTTGAGATATTTTTTTTATTTGCTTAATATGATTGCCTGACCATACTAATGATGTGTTCCAACTCCCATTGTCTGAAAAAAATTATTCACTGAGATATGAGCCTTCAAAAATGCCCATTTTCCCTTCCTGCCAGGTTACTTCCTGTCAGTGGGTGTGGCTAAACGTGACGTCACTAGAGGGATAGCTGCAGCTAAATCCATTCCTTTATAGGGGGAAATAATCCTTTATTCTCATGCCTAGTAATGTAATAGCACTAATTTAAAGATTGGAATGATTAGCTTTCATTATTCTAAGCATGCAACTGGAAGAAAAAGTCATAATACCACACTTTGGTGAATCTTCTTGTTAGCTATTTTGTGTACTTTTCTTACAGTTTTATGCTTAGAATAATGAAAGCTAATGATCCCAATGTTTAAATTAGTGCTATTACATTACAAGCCATGAGAATAAAGGATTATTTTCCCCTATAAAGGAATGGATTTAGCTACAGCTATCCCTCCAGTGACGTCACGTTTAGCCACACCCACTGACAGGAAGTAACCTGGCAGAAAGGAAAAATGGGCATTTTTGAAGGCTCATATCTTAGTGAATAATTTTTTTCAGACAATGGGAGTTGGAACACATCATTAGTATGGTCAGGTAATCATATTAAGCAAATAAAAAAAATATCTCAAAAATGCACTGAAGTTACCCTTTAAGTGAAGCCATCACAATGTCAGCTGCAAAGAAACAAAAGCTTTGTGATTTTTTATGCAAATTTTAGTTGAGTATATTAGTAGTCAACCCCAGCCATATAGACTATTTGTACTGAAGATGAGCATGAGGAGATTGAAGATGATGATCTTGTGAATGATGATTTTGTTGATTGTGCTGCTACCTTGAATCTTGCCTGAGTCCTCATCTGAGTCTGAGTGTGAAGCAGTTGCGAGAACCATGCATAGATATTAGAGTAAATGAAACTCCATTTTGCGAGAACACGCCCATTTCGCGGCCATAAAAGTGGGCGTGGCCAAATCGACAGCGCACTTCGCGCGCCCTTTTCTGCTCATAGCCTACCCCTTCCTTTTTTTCTCCCTACACCCTTGACTGGTAATTGTAATAATTTAGTGGATTTATGTCTAACACAATATGTAAAATTAATAAAAGTTTCCAAAATTTAACTGGCCAATCCTTCAATATAGATTAGCTATTTTACATAATTTATCAAAGTCAGCATACTGTCATATATGTTATGCAAGTATATAAAGGAATGAGCCATGTATTTTGTGAGAAAAATTTGTTGTGCATGTTTGTCATGTATACCGTACAAGATTATTTATTGGTGAGAAATTAATATTGGCAATTGACATATGTGACCATAATTGACAAAAGGTACCTTATGGCGGATTTTTAAATTCATCATTATAATGAAACATAACAACCTGTGAGTGCTCTGTTAGCCAACAAATGTTTCTAAAAGTTACATAGTAACTTTTTCCATCCTCTGGATTAATTTTATGATAAATGGAGCTCAGGAAGTTGGATTTTTAAGGCTATAAACACCAATTTTCCTATCCGCCATAAGGTACCTTTTGTCAATTATGGTCACATATGACGAAATCACCAATATCAAATTTGCCATTTTATTTCAATCTGAGCATGGCCAATGGCACCTGGCACAAAATTGCCAATACAAAATCCACCAATTAACTTTCCATAGGCAAATTCGCCAAATTCACCAAATTCAGTGTTATTTTGGAAAATTTGCCTGTGGAAAGTTAATTGGTCATGTTCAGTATTTAATATTGTTGTTATGTTGTTTGTTGTTGTTTATTATTTTGTTTATATTCATATTTTGTGAATTTTGTCTTTGAATAGGATTATGTGATAATAAAACATAGGAGTGATTACCTTATTAGGGTGGGTATTAATTGCAGCACTTAATTTCAGCACTTTTAGTTTTAGTGAGTGTACTTAAAAGGCTGACAGACAAAAGGCTGATGCTAATCATTTACTTGTATAAACAAGTACAAGATAGCAGTAGATAGGGTTGAGCTTCTTGAATAATATTATGCTATAATGCTATTGAATGGGAGTTTTACCAGTGATTTTCTTCCTATTTTTGCTAACAATTCCCTATATCAGGGTCCCCTTAAAAAAAGCTTAATACCCACCCAAAGGTAATGCTATTATAATAACTGTTAATAAATAAAAATACAGTCATTCACTTGTTAATACCGTAGGAGCTACAGTTATGGGATGCAGCAGGAAGAGGAGATATTGATGCTATGAGGACTGCCCTCTCTAAAGGGGCAGACTTAAACTGGAGGAATCCTGATAGGGTAAGTATATCATGTAGTGACTAGTGTACTATTATGACTCTTGTATAATCCACTCTTGATCATACATTATAGTAGGGCCAAGCAGGCCCGTAGCCAGGGGGAGTTCGGGGGGTTCGGACGAACCCCCTGTTGTAGCTGCAAAAAAGTTTTAGATTAGCTCCTGTCATGAAGAACAGCACTGCAAAAGCAGGATTAGCATTTTGGCAACAGCGAGAAGCCGAGCGAGAAGCACAGATAGCCATTTTAGCTGAGTCAGCACATGGCTGAGATGCGTAAATTAAGACCACGCCTACCAACCACGCCCATTTTTTTGTCAAAATTTTTGCTGCGCGCTTTGCGCGCAGCAATTTCTGAACCCCCTGTTTCAAGTTCCTGGCTACAGCCCTGCCAAGTAAAAGAAGAAATGCTTTGCACGCAGAGCGCGCAAAAAATTTTACCATATCTACTTAATATTCATAATAGGTGTGGTCAATTTTGGTCAATTAATTGATTAATTAATAATGATAGTGATTTTCATTGCCCAAAATTCATACGGTGTTCATTTCAGCAATAAGTTGCTTAACTACCGACTGTATTTCTAGATTATAAGAGTTGGTTGTTGGTGTGTGTGAAGAAGTAAGCAGTGATTGAGTCTTTCCTGGCAGTTATTCAGTAGTTATTAAATGAACTAATTTTAATAAAAGTGGCTACTGATCTTCAAAATATATTGGTAGGGCAACCGCCCTACCTGCCCTTTAGGCAGCGATGCCTCTGATATAGCCTGTAGTTACACTTTTGACTGCAATCAAAAGCTTTGATTAGGATAAAAAGACCTTTTACACCTTGATCTACAAACTTGATTGCCCGAAGGGCCTTGATGCTTGATTTTGATCATCTCATGTGCCTGCATAGATAATTAAAAAATCATAGATCTAGATGTATAATCAAAGATTTATGGAAAATATATGTCTTGATGTCTCCTACAACTGTCTTGATCCCTTGATCTCAACTTGATTGTTCCTTTGATATCTTAATTGATTTTGATTTGATCGCAGGTGCAAGTGCAACTACAGGCTATATGCAAGTGACACCCCCTTGTAAGAGTACCTGCAGTTTAGTTATAAATCAGTTTATTATGAGATTAAGATTGTGTAATATTTGTATTTCCTCTGGAAATTACACCTAGGCAATTATTTCTTTAGACACCCATTTGCTGGGTGTTTAAATTAAGTAGGTGTTATTAGAGGCTAGACATTTAAAATCATAAATTTGAGGAGTCTTCTTCTATGAGCTTCCTTCTCAGCTATATATAACTGCTATGTTATCTGTATTGCTTACGGTGTGTGCCAGCTAGTATAGTCACGTGGGCAAAATGGGTATGGCGTAGGCATCTAAACAAGCATGAGCATTTATTGTCAATGTTGTATATACTGTCTAGGCATTTGTACAGGTAAGGTCATTTATTGGGAGTAGGCGTTTCCATGAGGAAATATGGTATATGTTCCTCAAACGTATCTTATTGATTGATGATACTTATAGTCCCTTCTTTCTGGCATTCAAGTATTTATTATCTTTATTTACAATAGCTTACAGCCTAGGCATCAATATGAGTCTGAGGGTTTATTTTTGGCAGACATTTTATAAGAAAACAATGTATAAAGGCTACAAAAGTCATGGCGGCCATTTTGTTTGGGGATGAATCCTACTTAGTAACGCTATCACATTACTAATACTTTATTGTGAACAATATGCACATAGCATAACAATATTGGTATAGAATACCATACAGCTATACCATTCAATATGGTTAATTTTCAGTCATAGAATTATAATGTTTTGCATTATTATAAAATTGGTTGAAAATATTGTGAAAGGAATTTAATAATTATTATATAATTAATTTTAGTTATTAATTTGTATGTACTGTATTTGTTGTGTTTATTTCTGATAGGATAACAGGACTCCATTACATGTAGCTGTTGAATGTAAAAGAATTGATGCAGTCCAATGGTTACTTGACAAAGGGGCAAATCTAGAGTTAAGAGATATAGTGAGTTCTATTAAATGATACATGATGTGCTGTACAAGCTAGTCGATTATAAACCCCTTGCATTTCAATGTGATAAAATTTTGTTGAACACATTTTTGTGATATGAGTGTGCCATCATAAAATACAAGTATAGTATTTTAGTTAGATGTTATGTTGCTAGTGTGAATCCACCTCTACCTCAATGTAGTTTAATTTTTAATTTCATTGGTTCATTTAGGATTAAAATATGGTGTGAGTACTGTGTAGTTAAACAGAAACTTCCTCAAATGAGAGAAAAGGCAAAATTTTATAGATATAAGCCTTTTTGAGTGGTTGATTTGTTTTGCATGCATGCTTTGATGACTAGCATGACCTATATATTGTGACAGGAGCCCATGGGCTCCTGATTGTGACTAAAACTAAATTAAGATTAATTTTTATAATTAATAAAAATTATTAATAAATTTTTATTTTGTTATAAAGAATATTAACATTAATATCATGTTAGACTACTACTTTACATAATATGATAGGACACTTGACTGTGTATTGTTAGTGTCTTTATTATCTTGTCCTTTTTATAGGCTGGAGCCACTCCTCTCATATATGCAGCTTATAATGGTCACATCCAAGTTGTAGCAGTGCTCCTTGAAAAAGGGGCAGATGTTGTTGCATCTGATAATGTAAGTATAATCATTAATTATACTCCAATATTGATTGTACATGTATATCCTTTTAGTGGGTAGATCAAAGCATAGGTGATATATATCTCATACAGTGTGTGTACATGTACATGTATAGCCTATGATTAGAGGTGGGATGAATGTAAATTCAAATATTCTATTTACCAAAATGAATGATTGTTCGAATGTTTACACCATGGAGGAGGCTGCTAACCCCTGATGGGCAACTCCTAAAAGTATGCATGCCTCAAGTCTTCTAGCAATAGGAAATCCCTCCCTGGCCCATGGGTGATGGGTTGCCCTCTAGTGCCAGAACCTGGTTTTTTATAGATGATACCTCATCACTGCAATTAATTGATTCCCTATAGACCCAATAAAAGGAGAGAAAAAGACAGCTGTGCATGAACAGTTACTTTATGTATCCTCTTACTTCCCCAATTATTAGGACTAATTACCGATATTATATTGTTATTCCTAATCTTATTGTTACTTGCAGACACATACTCATTAAGAAATCCATTATAAGTAGTGCTCATTGCCCTAGATAGGGAATTAAACCATGCAGTTGAACCCTGACTGTGAATGAATAACAATCGCTGAGACCCACAGGATATGACCATGCATGATTTGTTCCTCAAGTGATAGTCACCTGAATTATTGTTTAGTTTTATTGTGAAGTCTGCTGTTACTATCATATAGTCAGTTGTTGTGAAAATTTTGCTTATCTGTAGTAACATGGGCTACTGTGATGCTATTCAGTCTCCCTTGGTCATAATTATACTATATTTGAATTTTACAGCTGCCCTCCCTCCTGACTATCATGTCCCCACACCCTCCCCTTTCCTCTCTCTCCCTACCACTCCACTCATCCCCCCACCCTGATTTGTAGACTGAGCTGTTTCAGGGCTCAGAGAAAAAGAAATAACAAAATTACAGAAAAAAGAAAATCAAACAAAGAACTGACTAAACTGAGCTATCTAACTTAAGAAATGAATGAATATACTCCAGAATCAACTGCTAGGTGGTTCATTAATTAAGCCAAAGAAGTGGATGGGTTAGAGCGGTTTTGCCATTCCTCTTTAAGCAATTGGCAGCTGCATGTCCCCCATGACCACATGTAGAGCAACTGTGAATGTATTGCTAGAGTATGACCAGTAAAATGTATACTTGTACACTAAATGTTCCTCCACTGTCTCTAACATACATTGTACTCAATACTGAGTATTGAAGACAGACCAACACAATCATGTTAATCAATGTCATGTTTAATTACTTTGTATAGATTGGTTACACTGCTTATGATTGGGCTAAAGAAGAAGGTAAAGCTGAAGTGGTTACCATATTGAGAGTATCCTCAGGTAATGCATTTAATTGCTTATTGAACTGATGTTATTATACTACAGTATAATAAAAAATAACAGTACCAGTGTTTACACAATGACTTTAAAATATTATAGTAGTGTTACTTATGATGCTTGATCCCTCTCCTTTGTTGGAAACCTAACCTTTTGTATTTTTCATACAGTTACAGCATGTACAGTACATTCACTATTAGCTTCAATGAATTAAATTGTGTAATAGCTAGTTATGTACCAGTAGTGTACAATGTGTATATTATTAATACATGGTAGTCCTATCCCACTATTAGATTATTATTATGTAATCTTATGCATGTATAATACAGTCCCTTACAGCCACACTGATGTACACAGTACACCTGGTATTTGTACATGTACTTGTATAATGGTAATTAAACTTTGTACATTTCTCAAAAATGTGTAAATGGACAAAATTGTGTCACACACATTTACATGCATGTGTTTTAGTGGTGCATGTAGGTTTTTGTTCATAGTAATGACACATTTGACTTAATTTTTATGGGACTATTCCTGGTCTACATGTACACGTATATGTATATTATAATAAACTGGAGAATAAAAAGTGATAAATCCTGAGGAGGCCCTGATAGTGTAATGGCCTAAATTGAACAAGCCTGTTCTCATGAGTGTACATGTATGAACTAATCTGTGCCTAATTATTCACTGCTTATGTTTTAACTGCTAATGGGTTTGAGAATACATGCACATGTACATGTACGTGTAAGTTGTTTGATATTAACTTGTCACAATTGCAATAGAACCTAGCATAGCGTGTACAATCAATGATTGAGCATTATGTAGAGCTTTTATTATTAATGATACATGTACATAATTCTACATGCATTCTTTAATCATTCAATGATTACCATATAAGTGTTTTTTTGAGGGAATTATATTCAAGAAATTTCTAAAAATTTGAATTTTTGGATTTTAAATTCGTAAATTCTACCATGTGTGCCATGGGGGTACCACATTAAATTGATTTCCACGGATTTTATTTTTGTCAACCAGGAAGGAATCTGCAAAATTCAAGAAATTTGCAGCCCTCAAAAAAAAACAACTTGTCCACTCACCTGACTTGTGTTGCAAGTCTTTTCACATTAATAACATGCAAAAATGAAGTATAGCAAGAAAACTATGATGCAGCAAGAGTTATACCCGGTTTGCATGATGTAAATGTAGTCTGGGCTCAATGTGTGAAAATTATTTATCATGGTTGAATTCATTAATGTAACCTTATTTTATTGAAAATAGACACAGCACCTAGGAGTTTATGTGGTATTAATGTGTGCTATATATCATTTGTAGAAGTGTATCGTAATAAACTACTCAAATCTATGAAGGAAGGACTTGTTACAGTTA